CCCCACCCCTGACCTCATCTCTGGTAACCAATAAAGAAAGATCTCGTCCATGTATAAACCTTCCCTTGGCTTTTTACAATGTTTTTGTTGTTGTTATATACCATCAAGTTGGACCCAACTCAGCAACCTCTCCTTGGGTTTCCGAGGTGGTATCACTACAGAAGTAGATTGCCCAACTTTCCTTCCAATTAGTGTTGCATAGTATTCCATTATATGTATGTACCACAGCTTGGTTATCCATTCCTCGACTGAAGTGCACTTAGATTGTTTGCATCTCTTTGGTATTGTGAATAGTGCTGCAGTGAACATGGGTGTGCATATATCTGTTTTTGTCCTGGCTCTCACTTCTTTAGGATATATACCTGGTAATGGGATTGCCACTGGATCAAATGGTATTTCTATTTCTAACTTTTTAAGGAATTGCCATACCGATTTCCACAGTAGTTGTATCATTTTACAGTCCCACCAGCAGTGTATGAGAATCCCAATCTCTCCACATCCTCACCATCATTTGTTATTTTCTGTCTTGTTGAACGTTGCTATTAGTGCTGGGGTGAGATGATATCTCATTGTTGTTTGGATTTCCATCTCTCTAGGGAGCTCTGGTGGCATAATGCCTAAGGCATTTGACTGCTCACCAGAAGGCTGGTGGTTCAAACCCACCAGCCACTCCTCAGAAGTAAGATTGGGCAATCTACTTCCATAGTGATACCGCCTCGGAAACCCAAGGAGGGGTCGCTATGAGTCAGATCTGACTTGATGGCTGTGAGTTTGGTATTTTTTTTTTTTTTTTTTTTGAATGGCTAATGATCGCAAACATTTTTTCACATGTTTTTTGGCCGCCTGAGTATCTTCTTTGGTGAAGTGTCTATTCATATCTTCTGCCCATTTTTCAATTGGATTGTTTGTCTTTTTAATGTTGAGGTGTTGGAGTATTTTATAAATTTTAGAGATAACTCCTCTGTCAGGTGTGTCATTGCCAAATATTTTTTCCAAACCTGTGGATTTTCTTTTTACTCTGATGGAGAAGTCTTTTGATGTTCCTAAGAATTTAATTTTTAGAAGGTCTTAATCATCTAGTTTGTCTTCTGCTGTTTGTGCATCTTGGGTTATGTTTGATAGCCTATTTGTGCCATAAATTAGGACCCCTAAGTTTGTCCCAGGAGCTCTGGTAGCATAGTGGCTAAGACACTTGCCTGCTAACCAGACGGCTGGCGGTTCAAACCCACCAGCCACTCCTCGGAAGGAAGGTTGGGCAGTCCTACTTCCGTAGTGATACTGCCTCGGAAACCCAAGGAGGGGTCTCTATGAGTCGGGTTTGACTCGACGGCACATAACAACAACAACAACAACAAGTTTGTCCCTATGTTTTTCTTTGATGAACTTTATAGTTTCAGATTTCACATTTAAGTTTTTGATTCATCTGGCGTTAGGTTTCATTTATGGTGTGAGGTATAGATCTTGTTTCATTTTTCTACAAATGGATATCCAATTTTTCCAGCATCATTTGTTAAAAAGACCATTGCTTCCCCCATTTAATGGATTGGTCCTTTGTCAAAGATCAGCTGACCATTGGTAGATGGATCCATTTCTGGGTTCTCAGTTCTGTTCCACTGGTCTATGTGTCTGTCGTTGTACCCATACCAGGCTGTTGTGACTACTGTGGCTGTATAGTAGTAGGTTTTGAGCTCTGGGAGTGTGAGACCTCCTACTTTGCTCTTCCTGAAGGCTCATGTTTTGCCTATATGTTTTGCAAGTTGTTGACTCTCTTCCCCCTCTTGTGTGTGCCCTACTAAGTCTATTTAGGGAAATGACTCGTCAGCCACCCTTTAAGTGGTATTTGGGGTCATTTTCAATGAATATTCATTGAGCCTGTTCAATGGACAGTTAGACCCCATTAGCACAGTCCAGTTTTTTTTTTTTTTTTTTTTTGGTCCTGTGTGAGATTATTGCTGAGTGCTGTGGGTGTATGAATATATAGGTATACATCACTTAATGCCCAGCATGTGTTCTGTGAAATAGGACATTTTGCTTTTTGGACGTTATGCTAACATTATATTGTATGCAGGCTGTCTCTGTACCAACCATAGTTAAATCCCCATAAAGCCTGTTCCAATAAAACCTTATGGGAGCCTGCCAGATATTGCCTGAGAGCTGTATTCACTGGATACAGGAGCCTGGCTTTGCTAGATGTGTCGCTGGGCCAGGCAGGGACTGCACCAGCAGCTGAATCAGGACTTGACACACATCTGGGCGCAGGGCAAGGTTGAGGGCTAGGGTCCTCTCAGGGGGCATGGAGAGGTGGCTGCAGGGACCAGATGTGTGGCTGCAGGAAGCAAGATTGGCAGTGGCAGCCCTGGCTGCCATTCCCCAGTTGGTGTGGCCACTTCCTGATCACGTGTAACCACCACCGCAGCCATGAGCCAGGAGCCTGTGAGTGCCCTGGGTCCAGCTGGCACTGTGAGCACGCAGCAAACGGGGAGGAACCCTGAAAGGCTGCACAGCTGCTGGACGGATGAATGAAACCAGGAGGAAGCGAAGAAGGAGATGAAGGAGGAGGTGCTAAGGGGATTGAGATGGCTGGAGCCCCTACTTCTCATTCACTCTGGGGATTTAGGGTCTTTAAAGCCACTAGAGACAAATAATAAACAAAAGGAGAACTGCTTTCCCTTTAACAACAATAGCAACAACATAAAAAAAAATACCTTATGGACCACAGATGTAAATGGGAAGGACATTGCCTAAAGGGACTAAATGATGCAAACCTGTATTTCCATTTTGTGTGATATAATGAGTGAGTGCTGAGCAAGGACAACCAGAAGTTTCACACCTTTCTTTGGCCTGAAAAGAAACGGAGGGCAATGGGATTAGAGGGTATTAAAGTAAATGCATTCCGCTCAGTAGAATCCAAGACTAACTCCACATCATCAACCCCAATCTCTACACTCATGTCCAGCACTCTGCCAAAAGGCTCACGATATTTTTTGGTTAGTTGCAACAAAAAGGAGATAAAGAATTGGAAAGAATGGAATGATGTTTTCCTTCCCTTAGAGGAAGCTTTCTCAGTCTTGGGACTATTCACATTGTGAACCAGATAGTTCTTTGTAGCAGGGACTCTCCTATGTGTTAAAGGATGTCTGGCAGTATCCCTGCTCTCTGCCCACTAGATGACACTAGAACTGATTCAGACCAGAATGCCTCCAGACTCTAGACACTCCAAATCTCCCCTTGTGGGCAGACCCTCACCCCTGCCTTAGAGGGAATTTGGACACAAATGACAAACCCAGTCACAGATTCTGATTGCTGCAGTATCACATGGAAAGCAAAACAAAACAAAAGGAGTATCTATGGATTGTCATCCTTGAGTAGTGCATTCTTTTCAAAACTATCTCTATAAGAGCGACTGGTCAGCAGCTATTTTAAAGCATAGATGGAAGGGTAAGGGGCATGGAGTTTCAGTTAGTAGGAGAAATGACGAGAATGTTGGCGCAGTGTGAAGAATGTAACCATTGGCACTGATCATTATGTCTAGAAGCTGTGGAATGAGAGTGGGGTTTGCTGTGTATGTTTCCACCCAAAATAAAATAAAATATTTGGATTATTCACAAAGAAATATCTGTAGAGAAAGGACTTGAGTGACTTGAGGCCGTATGCACAGAAGTTAGTGTGTCTTTGCCTTTTGACTTTGGAAAAGCCTTCTTGAACCATATGCAATGTTCACTGATTCAGTGCCAGCAGAAAGAAGCTAGAAGCTTTCTTCTGCATGCAGATGGAAATCATGCCACTTTCAGATGGAGACATCTTCCTAAGATTGTTGCCATCAGAGCAGAAAACACAAGGCGGAAGGTCAGGTCATTCTTACCGGGACTGGATCTCAAAACCACACACACACACACACACACACACACACACACACAATCAAGCTTATTGCTATCGAGTCGATTCTGACACATGGCAACCCCCTTGGGTTTCTGAGCAGCAAGTCTTTATGGAAGTAGATTGTCCAGTCTTCCTTCCGTGGAGTGGTTGGTGGGTTTGAACCACCAACACCACCAGAGCTCCTTGACTGAGTCTCCACTGTACCAATTTTCTGCCTGCCCTACTAT